AAGAATAAAGAAAATATGCTTTATAAATATAAAAGTTTGTTTCATCTTAAATTTTATTTAATATTAACATTTTTTTATTTTTATCTGGTATATAACTTAATTATATAATATATTCCAATTGGGTAAAGACCTTAAACTTGAATGAGTTAAAGTGGTCATTCTTTGCCCCAATCAAAGAAGTACCTATATAAATTATCAATAATTTAATAAATATATATTTAAAAATAATATTTAAACCTCTACAAATTTCATTTAATTGATAATATAAAATTTTACGACAAAAAAAACATAAATCTTTAATGTATATATTAAAAATTAGAATCAAATCCTTTATTTTTTAAAAAATTAAAACATAATAAAACACTGAATTTATTAGAATCTCAATAAATGCAATAAATCATCAAATTTTTTAATAAATCGGAAATTTTTATCTGCAACAACTCTTCCAGCAACAAATCCAGCTCAGATGTAACAACAACTTTGTGTGTTCTAAAAACATGTTTGTACTTATTCCATGTATTTTGATGTTTTAAATATAAAACAAGTGGTGAGATTTACAAAGGCTTCGGTGTGATTAACAATGAATTGTAAAAATTGCAAACTGTTATTACTAATATGTGTATGAATACGTCATTCCTCTAAATTATTATATATCCTGACAAACAAAATCTTTCAATGATCAATAAAAATTGTCGGATCAAGTGCAAAAATTTCCCCACTTTGGGAAATTTTTGCACTTGTTAAAAATGAAATAAAAAAACTTTAACAATGTTTTTTAAAAAGTTTTTAAACCCATGATTCATTAATTTAGTAGAATAAAAGAAACCTTAGTTAGTGGTCTTGTAGAAAATCTGATAGAATTTCTACGCATTAAAGGCATGCTCAAAAGATATGTAAAGTGTAGAATATGTCTTCTGGACATGAAAACGAAGTTATACACTAGAAGTAGTGATAGTGTGGCGTTTAGGTATTATAATAGAAGTTGTAATGACTTTTCTAAGTATGTTTCAATACACACCAAGTCACTACTATCAAAATTCACTGTACCTCTGAGAGACTTTTTATTAGTGGCTTGTAAATGGTTTAATAACCATACTCATGTATAGATAGGCAGTGAGGTGAATATTAGAAAAAGATCAATTATTAAAATTATTGATTTATTTCATAATCAATGTTTTAAGCACAAAACTAAAAATTCAATTTGTCTTGGTAGTGATGGTATGATTGTGTAAATAGAAAGTTTATATAGACATAAACTGAAATATCATCGAGGTAGATAACTACAAGAGAGATTTGGGTATTTGGACTAGCTGATTGTTTATTTACTCCAGTAAAAATTTCACTATATATTGTTCCTAACAGGACTGATAACACTCTACTACCAATAATGAAAGTTGTATATGCCTCAGGAATAATAATCCACAGTGATAAGTGGAAAGCTTTTTTAAGATACAGTGGTGGAAAATAAAATTGAGCCAGTACAAAAATAAAATACAAACTACTGAAAAAACAAAATTTCTTAAAAAAAGATTAAATTTTGTCTATTCTACATACTTATTATTTAAAAAATAAATAAATATGACATGTCAAACAAAAATTTTAAAAAATTTTAAAAAAATGGAATAAAAAATTGAGCCTAAAAATTTAATATAACATACTTCTTCCTTTAGATTTATACAATTGCTCAATTCTCTTTGGTACTGAGTTTACTAAATTTTTACACATTTCTTGAGATATTTTAAACCATTCATCAACAACAAATTCTTCTAATTCTTTTAAATTTTTAGGTTTTCGTTTATGCACCTGTATCTTCAAATAATGCCATGAATTTTCTATAGGATTCATGTCTGGGCTTTGTGATGGCCAATTTAATACTTCTACATTATTTTTATCAAAAAAATCATTGGTTAAAGCAGCTTTATGTTTAGGATCGTTATCTTGCTGGAAAATATAGTTATCACTAATACTTAATTCATCTACTGATTTAAATAAATTCCTATTCAAAATTTTAGTTTAATACAATGCTGTCATATTACCTTTTATAATTTCAATTCTCCCTACTCCTTCATATGAGAAACATCCATATACCATAATACTTCCTTTTCCATGTTTAACCGTGGGTGTAATAAAATTTTCTTTACCTCTAAAACCCCTTGGTCTGCGTAGATAAACCATACCATCAGATCCAAAACAGGTTTATTTTTGCTTCGTCTAACCATAAAACTTTTTTCCAATAGGCTTCAGAATCCCATAAATGTTCTATCGAATATTGAAATCTAGAAAAAATATTTTTACTGCTGAGAAGAGGTTTCTTTAAAGGTCTAAAAGCACTCAAATCAACTGTTTTAAGATAATTTTTAATAGTTCTGGCAGAATAATTTGTGTTAAATTCACTATTAATTTCTTCAGCAATTTTTATTGATCCAATTTTTGGAAATCTTTCTATTTTTTTCTTCATTAAGTCTATCTGAAAATCGTTGAAAGCTTTTGGTCTTCCAGATCCTTTCTTACGTTTTATATTACTCGTGTTTGCATATCTCTTTAAAATCTTATTTAAGTTTGAT